ACATCCTCCCACAACTCATCTGGTCTTCAGTCATTAGCATTCAAGGCCTCAAACCTGTTCCTGAGATGATTCTGTACATAATTAAATATCACTGCTCTATGCCCATTATTCCCCAGCCTTTCAAGTCCCCATTGAACTTCCTCCACCAACCTCTGCTATCCCAGTGATTTCCCCCCTTTCCCTTTTGAATGTTTATAAATATCTTGCTCAGTTATTCCATTTTCATAATAATGATCTTATGCAGTATTTGTCTTATGCAGTATTATGTGACTGAGATATTCATTCAGGATAATATTCTCTAGAATCTCCCATGTTATAGTATTTTATGAAATCATTATTCTTTACTGTTGCATAATACTCCATTGCATGGATGTACTATACTTTCTCAATCCATTAATTTGTTGATGGGCATTTGGGCTGTTTCCACTTTCTTGCTATTGTAATGCTGTTAAAAACACATCTCCATTCTATATGTACATGTTTTTTTGTTGTTGATTGCCATCAAACTAGGCACTATTCATAGTGAAACTATGAACAAAAGGCCTGAAGCCATATATAGCTGTCGTCATTTATCAAAGTTCATAGAGTTTCCCAAGGCATGTTGTTTAAGAATTGAATGCCACTCCTGCTTCTAAATATGTATTCATGTGTACATATCTCAATACGTGTCTTAATTCTTATTTCCTTGGAATATATTCCTAGCAATGGAATAGCTGGGCCACATAGGATTTCTATGTTCAGCTTTTTAAGGAAACTCCAAAATGCCTTCCATCATAGCTGTACCATGTTACAATCCCACTAGCAGTGCAGAAGAGTTACAATCTCTTCACATTTATTGTTTACTGAGGTGTTAAAACTTTTCTTTTGTTGCTGAGACGAGATGGTATCTCATTGTTGTTTTGACTTTTATCTCTCTCATTGCCAGTGATTTTGAACATTTCCTCATGTCTTTGTTGACCATCTGGATGTTTTAGGAAAGGTCTATTCATAACTTTTGCCCATTTTGTTAATTGGTTATCAGTCTTTTGCTTGTGGAGGCCCTGCACTCTGTAAAATTATCTAGGAGACCCTTATCTGAAATGTTGTTGCCAAATGTTTTTCCCCAGTGTTTGCTTTTCTTTCACCCTACTGGAGAAAGTTTTTATTCATAGTGTTGTGGTACTTTTAGATGGTCTCATTTGTCTATATTATCCTCTGCAGTCTATGCATTTTGAGCTATGCCTGCAAGTCTATTTATGCCATAAATTTGTTCCCATTTTGTCTCTTATGATCCTTATGGTTTTGAGTTTTACCTATGAGGCCCTGATCCCCCGTGAGTTGGTTTTTGTGTATGATGTGAGATGTGGGTCCCATTTCAGTTTGCTGGATGTAGATGTCTAATATTACCATCACCATTTGTTGAAGAGTCTGTCACCTCTATTGCTACTCTCCCTCCACAGAGTAGGACTTGTAAGAAATCCCATCTCTTATGTTGCTGTTATTGTTGTGTGCTGTCGATTTGGGGCCCACTCATAGCAGACCTTTCAGCAGGTTTTCAGAGGGAGAAGAATGGGAGAAGATTGCCCATTTTTCTGCCATGAAGCAGCTGCCAGATTTTAACCAAATGCCAAGGATATGGCAATGGTGCAGTGGTTTTTCATCTCTTCTTTCAAGAATTTCTTATTTACCAAAGAGGTCTTTGAGGCTAAGTGAGATAGTCAGGGACCCCATATCATACTCAACTAATCTCTCTCTGGAACTCAGGCCTCTGACCTCAACACCTCATCGGGCTTGGCTACAGTAGAGCTTGGTCAGGCTGAGTGCTGCCCATAGTGACGGTAAGGACCAATTAGAGTGAGAGACACACAGGAATGTGAGATGAGAGGCTGAGTATCCTGTCTCACACCTTGCCTTTAAATTTGAGGGATAACCTTGCTGTTTTCTGTCCTGCTTGAGTCCTGTCTGAGTCAGAGGAGCTGCCCACCTCTACCATGCTCTGCTCCGGACAGACCCAGGGACATTCCTATCCATTGGTGAGGGCCTGGACTGAAGTTGTCACAGACACTCTGCTGAAACTGTTGAAATCACCTAAGTGAATCCTAGAAACCAAACCCAGTACTGTCAAGTCAATTCCAACTCTACAGGAAAGTAGAACCACCCCAAAGGGTGTTGTGTTCAAGGTCTTCTAATACTTAGGAAGCAGATGCTACAGCATTCTCCTATGGAACGTTTGGTAGATTTGAACTGCCAACCTTTTGATTAACAGCCAAGTAGTTAACCACTATCACCAGCACATCTACCAAAGTGAAAGAATTTAATAACCTATTAAACCAACATCCACAGCCCCACAGTTGGATACTGTTGCATTTGTCTCAGTGCTTATCAATAACCAACAGGTATGTAAATATGTACTGCATTTTCTAGAAACAGGGGTAGGGGTGAGGAGAGAGGAAGTGCTTTACACAGGAGGAAGCATCTTCATGGTTATCATCTAGCGACCATAGGCCAGCCCTCATCTGACCTAGTCCAAGATTGAGGTGTAGGTCTGATTTTACCCAGGGTATTGGCAGAGACTCTCCACACAAAACACTTGGCAAATAGTTATCTGTGAAGATATTAACCTGTGTCATCAGCAGGGGGAAGTGCCAGTCTGCCTTGTCCCTTTATCAGCTACCAGTGTGTTCCAGTGTCCCACACCCCCAACCAAGGTGACCACCATTGCTCGTGAATGGAAGTGTCCAGAGAAAGACACCCCCTAAAACTTCTCACTGAGAAGTCAGGAAGCTACTTTTGACTGGGAGGGACTGGCCCAGGGCCTCAATGGAAATCCCACCTGAAACACCACTCCCAACACTGTTTCATCTTTTAGCTAATTTACTGTTCTGCTGTCCAGTTACAGGTAGAATTTTTTTCCCCTTTTGTTACAAGACATTTATTTAATAGACACATGGTCTTACATTCCAACATGAATTAAGATGCTTATGTTTTTCATAAAGAATTTTTTTTAAATCATAAATGATATATGGAAGGGAAAACTAAGGTATCATGAAGATTATGGGCCAATCTTATTCTCTTCTCCCATTCAGTGAGGGAAATATAATCCCAAAACAATTAAAAGTGTCTGTTTCAGTTCAAAGCCCAGTGTCTATTCTCCATTAAAAGAGAAATTCTTGGTTTCTAAAATGTGTTAGTTTGATCAGACTTTTTGGAGAGCAGTAGTCAGGACTAACCCTGGGGTTCCTGGGGGCCATGTTCTGTTGCTCACATTATAACCAAGCACCTTGGGAAGCCTAAGGGCAGCTAGGTTTTTGAAATGTCTTCTACTTTGGAGAAGAAACTTCTCTCCAGTGCAACATGGTCTAACAAGGAAGGAAGTGGGAGGCTGATGACAAATCTGTGTCTGCTATCTGAGGCCTCTCATTCAGCCTGGAACCCTGCCAGGATCCCTGGCCGGGTCACACCCTGTGCTGAGGGTTGATCACACGGCCCAGCATGTGGATAGTGGCTGCCCGCTGCTCACAGATTGCAAACAGGAAGGGGTGGTTGAGAGTCACTTCCAAAGCCTTTGGCATGCTGGGCTGCTGGCTTGCCTCTGGGGGTCGCTGGCTTGCCTTCAGGGGTGGCTGGGTTGTCTCTGGGGTCTTCTGGCTTACCTCTGTGGGTTGCTGGCTTGCCTCTGGAGGCTGGTGAGTTGCCTCTGGGGTCTTCTGGCTTGCCTCTGTGGGTTGCTGGCTTGCCTCTG